ATTCTGCCTGCTGAAAGTGGGGATAAAACTTCCTCATCTGAAAAATTCTTTATAAAATGTCACCTTAGTAAGCTTTGTGAAGTGTTTTGAACTTCTCAAAAAAAATCATGCTAATAGAGTATTTGTTGTATAGTGTGCAACCATGTCAAACAGCACAACCAGATTTCTAAATAGGATTGTTTCAGTGTTTTATTAAAACACACATGGATGTACTAATTAAATATAATCCTGCTAAGACAAACTGCTTGAATATAGCTAGCTCTGTAATATTAGCAAGAAGAAATTGCAGATGAGAAAAAGTATGCACGTGCATGCAAGTACCTGTGTGCATTTTTGGGGGGTTTTTTAATTTTTAAACCTTTATTATACAAATAATGAAAACAAACAGTGAAAGTGCACAGATGTGTAGCCATCCCAGGGGCCAAGCATGAGACACTTCAGCTTGAAAAAAATGTCACCAGAAATTGAAACCCTCCTTCCCATTTCCCCCATGGGGTGACACATGCAGGACCAGTTGTCCACCTTCTACCTTGCAGAGGGCCCCATCAATGGCCCAGCATGATATAAACTGGTTTGCATTTTGTTGCAGAGTAAGTGTGCACATTCAAATGTGACAGGTGCCTGGACCAGAAAGCAGAAGAGCTAGAGGGCATAACTGGAGCCAGCCCCTGCTGGTTTCTGTTTTTCAGTCACCATCTTGGCCTGGCACAGCAGAAAATTGGCCAGGCAGATCACACATGCCTTGGTATAGGATACAGATGTACAATGTCTCAAAGAAGTGCAGGAGAGATACAGAAGGATCTGATTTCTTTGGCTGATTTCTTAAGCTACTAAGTCAGGTAGCTAACAGGATCATCACTATTCTAACTGAAGTGCCCAAAGTGTCATATGTATCAGCTTTCCCATGCTGAAAAATGGCAGCAGAGATACTAACTAAAGCTTGTTGCATAAGCTTTAAAGTACCCCCGCCACCATTTTTCAGCATGGGGATGCTGATGCATGTGATCCTGGAGTCTGCTGGAATTCGGTAATTACCACACACCAACAGACTCAATTACTAGAGTCTGCTCTGATGCACTGCAATTACAGTGCATCAGAGCAGCCTGGCTGTATGTGTATAGGCACCCAGAATTGACTATTTTACTTCAGCTGTATTTGAAGTTAGTCTAGCCAGAAACTGCAAATTAGAGTTCCAACAAAATAAGAAAGTTGGTGACTATGACATCTAGTTTTAAACTAGAAAGTTAGGCATCAAACGTATAAAACTACCATGGAAGTCTTTTATAAAGATTTCTTGAATTGTTTTCTGATATTGGGGAAGATGTTATGTGAGACAATACAGGATAATAGGACTCCAGGCTACACAGTCACTCAGCACTTAAAGGTGTAATGTTTTTATTAACAACTACAATTACTGCTTTTGATGCATTTGCAAATGTCTTCACAATGAATGATGCAATTCACAATTAATAATAAGTAGCTCATCTATAGCACTTCTCAGAGGATTTCAGAGAGCATATAGTTCCATTTTAATTTTTAATTGCTAATTTCCTTAGCAGTAGTGGTACCATGCACCTCTGTAGGCTAGAACCTGATGCTGCTCTCCAAAGTGAATGGAGGAAGGAAGATTTACTGTTACTAAACCCTAGGGAAGAGTGAAGTCCACATCAAAATCCCCAGGGACTTCAGCAGAACAATGTTCTGGTCTTTTGTAAATATAAGTAGTTTCCTTATTTCCTTCTCCATTTCACTAGTTCTTGCACATGTACTTGAAATGCTGACTGGGCTGAGAGGATGTTGGTTAGAGGGTGTATGGAGAAATCATGTGTATACATGCAGAAAAAGATTTTAAAATAGGCAAATTATATCTTTGAAGCTTGAGAAGCAGATAATTAGAAGCTACTGTCCTTTAACCGGAACATTCGCTGAAGTCGGTTTACACACATTATTGTGCTTTACATTTTTTCATTTCATTTTTCTGTGATCTGTTTTATGCTTTCCTCTTTTACATCAAATACACAGCAGCTCTACTCCTTTTGCTACTAACTGTTCAGTAGCTATCATGACAGCAGAACTACATCTTCGTTCTCATTTAATAACCATTTATCATTCTGTACCTGCCCATTTTCAAGAAGGAATAAAGTTAAGTGTTCCAGAAATTGGAAAAAAATTAAACTTGACCTTTATTAAGTGGGTTAATTGTCACAATCTTAGCATGTATGAAATTAATGACCAAAAAGTGGAACTTCAGAGTTTCAAAAGACTAGGTTAATGTCCAAAAAAGTCTAAACTCTGACCTTTTTGACATATGCCAAAAGAAACAGCCACTCTAATAAATTACTACCTATGTGCAATTATAATAAACCATTCTTAGCATCCAAGCACTTGAATTAATTGCTGCAAGGCACTGTGGCTTCCTTGGAAGTATTATTCTTGAGAATCCTTTGCACTGTATGTCAAGTTGTGTGTGTATTTGTTTCAGTTTTAAAGCATGTTATTTATACCTTTGGACTCCACAAGTACATGCATCATTTATTAGCAATGAAATGAGGAATGCTGGGTGAGTAGCCAGCAGCACTAGCATGGTGACTGACAGGGAATAATGTTGGGGAAAGTGAGTTTGACCTAATGATAAACAGGCACTTATCACTGGACTTCATACACCTGGATATCTACAAGACAAACAGGAGAGTGGAGAGACTTCATACCCTTTCTTTATGCAAAGAAGGCCCACAAACAGTTGAATGGCAGCTTTTATAAAAAGGATATTTATAAAAACAAAAAACTGGAAGACGCAGCAGAGATGTAATGCACTGTTACCTTCTAGGTTAACATTTCAATATAGATTGGTCTGGGTTGGTTAGTGATATGGCATCCTCTCACAGATTTAAAAAATCTTTCTGTAAAGCCACAGAAGCATGTCAATAAACTACTGAAATGTTTAATTTATAAACAAAAGCAGATGAATTGAATAGAAAAACAAGGCATAAGAGGGGAGGTATATTGCTACATTTTACCATGTTTTAATGACCAAGTTGTTCTTGTTCTGCACCAGGACAAGCACGGGATTTTGCAAAGATTTATTGGGAAATCCAGGGATGAGAATAGTCAATAGTGCAGTGATGAGGGCCATTCACCTAGAACTTGGAAAACTTGAGATCCAAGTCTTGTGTGCCTCATTAATGATCATTAGAGTGGTTCTGCGTTATATAAATATTAATTAGAGCAAAGACAAACATTGATGTCCCACATCTCAGGTGAATATCTGACCTATCCATCACTCTGGTTCTGAGAGATATTTAATCCTGGACCTGGAAGCTTTCCTGACAAAAAAATTCACCAAACCTGATACATATCTGTGAAAAGTTTGTTCTGCATAATTGACATGTTTTGATGAAAAGCAGTATGGTTTTAGGAAGTTGCCAGCCACCTAATTTGAACATATCTGTAAAGGAACATTTTAATGGATAACACCTCCATGACTTTATAATCAATGTACGCAAGTGAAAAATAGGGCTATTGGACTGTCCATACCAACTACAAAGTTGTTATGAGCATCATCTCATGCAAGTTTCTTCTGAGTCATGCCCAAAAGAAAAAACCCTAAACAAGCAAACAGACCCAAAAAACGCCCCCAAAAATGTTTTTTTTTTTTTGTATTAAGAGCAGAGTACTGAATTTAGAAGGAAACTCCATTCATTAATCACTGGAAAGCCTCATAACTTATTTAAAATTCCATATCAATTAATACTTCTGTTTTTACAGCATTAAATGGAGAGGCTATTTTAAACATGACTAACTGAATCCAGATTAGTGATCACTCAAATTCAGAAGTTTCCTCGAATCTAGCAACTTAAAGTGATCGCTAAGAACAGTCAAGCTACCCCCAGCTTTTACACCAAACTAACATTCAACCGGTCACTCATTTTTCTTTCCCTTAAGTGTCTTCGCTTATAGTCCCTAATCCATGATCAACATCAGCACCTTCCCATGAATAGGGCAGAATAGAACTTCTGGGGTTTTACTGGCTTAACTGGTCATTGTAAAACCACTAGACACAAATTGGACATCCTTTGGTTTGTGATGGTTCAAGTCCTGTCATCACACACGCGCCGACTCATTTCCAAGACAGTGCAGATAATCATTTTGTATAAGCTTAGTTTCTTCTGTATATGGTCAGGTCATGATTCATACCATCATGTGATTTAACAATGATTTAATTTGTAAATACACTCTGATCTCTAGATATTACAAAAATAAAAGCAAGTTAGTAACATTGAATAATATGCAACACAAAGGCCATGCTAATGCCTCTATTGCTGAGAAACAAGCCCAGCCCCTGTGCCAGATTTGCTTCCACTGCATATGCACCCAAGCCCAGCAAATCATCAGCATAAATTGCTTATGTGGTTCCAAGTGTGTGCTCCATCTCCATTCTGAGGTTCTGTCTGAACACAAATGTTTCTGATAGCAAGTAGGCACGTCTCACTTTGTTTGTCTTTAAACAGTTGTATCACTGTAAAAGCCAATTCAAAAGCAATGCTTGATTTTGCTGTGCCTTTTTCAGTTTCATAGCTGTCACAAGTTCATCTCTGTTTTAAGGGAGCCCCACAGAAGATTCTAGCTGTAGGGGGGGAGGAAATATGAATCTTTATTGCTTTTTTATTCCACAATAAAGTTTTTCTGAGTTTCATTTCTCATCTTGATGCATGAAAATCTTGAACACGGCCTCCAAGGTGCATGAATAATCACTAGCAAGGAAGAGATGGCAGCAGCAGACTGTGGAGACACCTATGAATCTATACTCTCTGTGTTGTAATCGTGAAAGCAAACTGTTCATAGAATAGCACATGTAATAATATAGCATATTAGAAATCTTGCACATTAGAAGATCAATCACTAAAGCCCTCTCTAGACATATCTGAAATCTCCATTCAGGTAACACCAGCTAAATCTGCCAAGAAACTGGGGCAGGGTTTGGAATGTTACTATTTCAGAAGTATTTTGTTGGACGTCCTTTTATTTTTAACATTTTTATTTGGCACAGGTAATCCATGAGAAAAAATGGGATGACTGGATACTGAAAATTGGCTGAACTTCCCATCTCTCTCCAGAAAAAAAAGCAGTTTATACTGTAATAAAATGTAATGCATCAGATTGAACCAAATCATTTACATTTTGGATTACAACTGAGACATTTAGGAAATGTTAATTGTTTCAGAATTCTGCCACCTCCCAGGCAAGATGTGCAACTAGCAAAAGCAGAAGAATGTTCCTTTTAATACACAAATCAGAAGATCTAAAGTATCACGTGCAACAAACTTACTAATGTGTCTTAACACACTTCACAGTACAACATGCAGTGTCTGTTTGAAGTTCTTTCTATTGTCTAGTTGAGGGCCAATTTTAAAATGTCTAGAGAGAAATACCTAATTTTAGGCCAGTTCCTAAAAGTAAACTTGCATTCTTAGGAGTATGGGTACACAAGTTGTCACAAGGTAAGCTAAAGGGTGAACTTACAGTGCCTCAGTTATTCCACAGTACCTGCCCCTGTGCATGCTTTCACTGTGTTATGTCAGGTAATCTGACCTCAATGAAAGTGGAGCGAGTTACCTCACAATTTCCCGCTAGGAAAGAACACACATGCAGGAGAAGCTGACGGGCTGTAAATTCACACCTCATGGTAACTTGAACAAGTGCCCTTACCTTACGCTGGCCCAAGGAGTCCCAAACTGTGTTATGCATGTGTGGCATGCATCCTTGATGTTCTATCCATTCATTTTGCAATCATTTTTAAAAAGGTGGTATGAGAACCAATAAAATTCAGAAGCTGCTGCTCTACCTTATAATTTTAGCTCTTAAAGTCTCATCAGTTCTGCTATAAGGACATGGTTATGCTGTACAAAGCCAAAAAGCACAGGTTGTTAGGGAAACGACCCATCAGTAGCTAGGTTACATGCAGAATTCAAACATTTTGTTTATTATTTTATTTTATTTTGTTTTTGGAGAACAGTCCGAGAAATCTTACTGCTTCTTACTAACTAAATAGAAGCAACATTTGGCATTTAGCCTGGGAATAGTGTGAACAGCCTCTTACCCAAACATTAAGAAGAAAGTTAACTTTAAAATGCTTTGATAGGTCTGTTTTCATGACAGATGGCAATGAGGGCTTGTCAGTGCCAATTTTATCATTCCCCTTTCCCCGATTTTCAAAGGCTTAAGGAAGTTTTCAATTAGTGTTTCTAAAGGAATCAATTCATTTTGCTGAGTAGGAATGTAAGCTGCAAGATTAGACTACTTTGCACTTTTATTGTACTCAGCATGGCGTTTTCCTTCTCTAGGTAACACCAATACGCACCAGAAATAGGAGTTTGAAATCATACAGTATATCAGTGCTTTCTTCCGCTTATTATGATTACTTGCGTTTATGGTGTGCCCTCTGTTTAGTATTGTACTGAGCACCAGCTATAGTTCTTTTCTCCTCCTTTAACACAAACACCATGTCAATGCCAAATGCTGGATTTTGTTTGTATAATACACTTACCACTGAAGACATTGTAGAACTAAGTTTATTCAAGAAAACCCACACGATCTATCCTGTGGTTACCAGAGTTTGCTAAGCCATAGATAACAGCAAACATTGAAACAGAATACAGTGTATCAAACCAAATCATTTAAATTTTGGATTACAGTTATAATGCTCAGGTAACACAAGTTGTTGTTGGGTGTTATCTCACTTTTCTTTGATATATGTGCAATGCAACTGGCAGAAGCAGAAGTGGATGAATACTGTTTCTAATAAAAAATAACCTGAAGAGTGGTGACTTACATGACATTTAAACTGTCAGGATGAAAATACATACTATTCTACCTACAGGCAGCATATAGTTACAAAAATATTGGTCCAGCCTCTAGTTAATGGGAAAACAATATCCCATGTGTAATGGCCAAACACCATTCTCAGTGAAATATTTAGAAAAAGCTATTTAACTTTTTTTTTTATTCGTAGTTGAACACCGAAGTTGCTATGGCAATATGGAAGTCACTACTTGTCATGTGTATTGCACCAAAGATTTATGCAAAAGCACATTTTCCAAGTTGTAAAAGAAGCAAAAATCTAATAAATAAAAGACAATAAATATGTCCACTGGCATTTTACTGCCACCAGTCCTAGATGAGTAAGTTGCTATATTTACGTTTAAACAGTTATCCATACTTTGCCCAGTCTTTCCATTCCTTAGAACTTTTAAAGATAGTTTTGTTAAGTGGGAAAGTTCTTAAAAACTGAGCAAAAGAATTAAGCTGTGTATTAAATTAGGCCATTTCAAAGCCAAGCCTTGAAACTACCATCATTTTGGTATTGCACTATAATGCTGGAATAATTTTTACACAGAATTTACTATATGGAGGAGAGGGACAACCAACACTGCTGGGTAACAGACTTGATTGGCACTGTATTGGTAAGCCAAGATATGTGCCTCAGACTGCTACACAATATAAGTGGGAACACATGCAGCAAACTTGGTTTTAGTCTGCCCCAGACCAAAAAAACAGTATTGCTCACTCTTCTTCCTTTAGGTAAACAGTAGCAAATATATTTCAACCAAAAGATGAAGTTTAAAATAAGATAAGCTAACTGCTTTCACATTCAGCATTGTATCCAACTACATAAAATGAAAGAATAGCAGACAGGAATATTAAATCATATTTACCTTTAATAATGGTTCAGTCAAAAAAATTAGCTTTGAAAATCTCCAGCTAACTGTGAAAACCTGAAGAAGCTGAGACCTGACCCTACTGAACAACACAGATTAAAACTGTGGCTTGGCCTATCTGCTTTCAACTTCTCCATTTCCACCTCCATTGTTGTAAATAAAAAGGTATCACTTTAAAAGAAAAAAAAAAGTCAGCCTTTAAAATTAGGTGGATGTTGTACTGTAGTAGCCTAACTTTGATTTAAGGAAGAAAGCTGAAATGTTCTTAATATAGTAAAAACAAAACATAAAAAAGGAAACGGAAATCCTTAGAAATCACTGTAAGTCTGTGTTTAGGATTCTCATCAACATTTAAAACTACTGAAAATAAGGTTGCCACCTTACCTTTTTTTGGACTGGTGCACCTGATTTTAAACAGGTTTTCTTCCAGTCTCCTAAGTTTCTGATCCTCTTATCCAGTTTTCTGCTGTACTGCTCTCCCACCTTCATGCTGAATACCGAGTCAGTCCTGCCTTCTGCTTTTCTTGGCAGGAGGCAGAGCAAGCTTTTAATTTCGGTAGTCAGAGTGACAGAACAACAAAAGCACAGCAGATAGAAGAGCTTAATTCTTCCCCAGGAAGAAAATACATTTGTTCCACAAAGGGCTGCAAAATCTTCCAAAGGCACCTCTTTCCCCAGGTTTTTTTCCTGAAAGCAAGATGGCAATCTTAATTGAAAAAGGATGCTAAATTTTTTAAATAACTTAAAAAAAAAATCATTTTTTCTTATATAAAGCAGCAAAAACATTTTTCCTCTGCAGAAAGAGAAATGTTAACAAAGAAACACACCAATGTAAATGCACTGTTCATAAACTTCGGCTAATTTTAATTTCACAATAAAGTCAAACTTTATATTTTCTCTATTCTTTAACCTCATCAGTGCTGTCTGAAGAAGATTCTTTGGCATCTTCAGTCTCTCTGTTACTTTCTTCTTGATTTAGATTTTCATTTTCTGATTTGGTCCCATTAAGTAGAGAGTTTTCACCATTTACAAACCCATTCTCTGTGACTTCTGCATCAATGGCTTCACCAATCTTTAAGTTCCCTTGCTCCTCTGCTTCTTCCTCTAGGTTTCTCAAGACAATTGGGAGTCTAGAGTCAGCCACAGTGTTCTCTAGCAAGGCTATATTGCTCTCTTCATATTTTGGAAGGGGGTTTCCATCTGCCATTTGTTTGTTATAGTACTCTCTGTTGGCAGCTGCACTCTTTACTGCTTTCTCCAAAATCTCTTTTTCACCCAAGCGCAATTTGATAGCCATTGTCGCATGAGGAGTAAGGTCATGGGTCTCCAGGAAGGACTTGTCATCCTTGAGAAAAGAAAAAAAACACAACGTGTTACCAAAATAAACAATACAACTTATGGGTCTTTGGCCCTTGGAATATGTTACCAGTTAATCGCATCTGAAGTTGTTACTTAGCCACATGTTAATGAAATTAGTGGTGTGATAAAACAAGGAATAAGCAACAAAAGTTGTACAAAAAATGTGTAACAATTTTGTGGCTAGTTTTGAGCAAGCTATTAACTACATGACAGACCAGGCTGGGGCTCCCAACTGCAGTGGAAGCCCCATCAGCTGATGGGGCTCCCAGCCATAGGAGTGCACCAGGAGATTCTAAGCTACCTCTGCACCAGTAATACGGTGCAATGGGATCTGATGCTGGATCCCAGAGTCAGGCCTCCTGCCATGCACAAGTGGCATGGCAAGAAGAGTGATTGTGGGGATCCCACATCAGATCTCATCACATATTCACTTGCATGTCAACCAGGAGCCTTTAATTACATATGACAAGGCCTCCAATCTTGCAGGCTTATCTATAGGGGCAGGTTTTGTGCCTCTATGTAGCCCCAATTAAGTCCAATAAAGAGAAGAGGTACTTTGCACTGATAAGCCTGCAGAATCATAGCATGTCAGCAGTTTTAAAGATGATTAACAAACATGAATAAGAAATGGTATGTTTTCTTTACAGATTAGACCAGGAGACAGGGAAACTCACAAACATGAAGTTGAAACTGATCACATATAGGAGAGAAAAAACAAAGGCTATTTAGTTCTTTGCAGTGGTGCAGGTAGGATGGGACAACAGGATCAGGCACCCCAAGTACTGATGGGAGTGGGCAGGGAAAACGCTGTGCCCCCCACAACTTTTCCTGCAATCCCGGTGGCAAAGGCAACTAGAAGTCATTGCTGCCCAGGCAGCCCAGCCACATTCTTATGCTGCTGATTCTTTGGCTAATGCAGGGAAGGTTTATATGTAAAAGCACAGGTAATATAAACAGTTATAACAACTTGAAGATGAAGAGATGCTGTTCAGGGAGAAAGGGACTGTGTTTTGCTAGGATCACTATGCAACAAACTTGAGATTACATAAAATGACAAGTTGTTTTGCTCCTTTTACCTCCACAGTGGTTTTGTAGGTTTTCAAAAGAAGGGATGCTCTAGCTTCAAGGAATGTCCAAAGTTTAACCTCATTGTCCCAGCTAACTGGAAATTCAGAGTTGCCCAGAGTGAAGATTTTGTCAATTGCATGTTCTCCTATCAAGTGCTCTTTCAGCTCTTCTGCAGTAAATATAAAAAACAAGCTGTTAAAAAAAATAATCTCATCATTTACTTTGGCAGTTTAAAAATCACAGAAAGTTTATTTACAAAAATATGATCTGATATTATTAAGAGAAAACTCTCTTCCCTTAATAGAAGTTATCTAATGATCTGCCTATTTTTGGTACTATTCTCAAAGTGGCATCTGGAAGTCTGGAGGCTAACAACAAAATGAACCTTCAACTTTATTCTGACATAAGGTACTGAATATTTTGGCCAAACATACATATCGTAACTCTTACTTCACACATTATCACAGATGTATTGTCCTACGTAATAGTTTATGATAAGCAAAATAGAGTATTTCATGAAAGAGCTGTGTGTATTTGTAGACAATAGAAGAAATATTTGCTGGGAAAGAATGTATAAATACTCGTACAGTTATTTTTCCTATTGTCAAAGGGAATTTCTTTTAGTCGAACAAACTGACAGCTGTTGGTCAAAAAGTGCTTCCAATATGTTAGAAGACATCATGTGGCTTATGATAGCACTGCACACATTCTTTAAATCTTATTCCTTTTAATTATCAAAATTCTCTCCTGAAAAAAAGTTTATCACAAACTTCAAGTAAACATCTGACAGAAGTTGGTAAGAAAATGCTAAAACAACAGAATTGAGTGACATATATTTCAATTCCATTCGCTGATGAAAGGGTCACTGGGAACAGGACTTCATTAGTGAATCAGCCACTTGCATGTAATACTGTTCCTCAGTGAAAAGCCTGAATACAGACAATTACCAGTTTTCATACTGGGAATCTGGGATGCATCAATTCATTTTATTGCAACAAACATACCATAAGTATGTTTCCTCCAAGAAAATGCATGCCCATCTGGGACTCAGAGAAAATAGCCAGCTTGTTACATAATTATGACATCCTGCCTTTAAAAGGGAATCAAAGCTTGGGACCAGAACAAACACAAATACCCAGTTATCCTAGTACATAAAGGCAGACATATCAAAACAAGTTGAAGTCCAAAGCATATCATGCAACACTTATTCTGGGTTCCCCAACTACCTGAAAAACTCCATCATATATATATAAGCCATGAGAACAACTGTGGCATGGATTTGTATCTACAGTTAAGAACTCTAGGTTAAAACAGACAAACTGTTTAACTCTACAAAGACTAGCATTTTGATCAATCAAATTTTGCAATCTACTCCCAAAACTTCTCCAAAAGTAATAAATCCATTATATGAATATATGACAAATGAAATCCAGGCTCTACCTAACTGTGAAGATGGTAAATATTTACTTAGTGAGAAATAGGTAATTCAACAATTCTGTAACTCATATTATGGAAAACAGGACAAAGCTAAATGCTACAATTGACTTTCACAGGAGAGGCTCTTGTCTTGAAGGTAGGAATGGCAGAAAGTGAACTGATGGAGATGTTGACAATGCTACAGAAGTCCTTTAAATCATCCTCACCTTAATAATACCAAGGTTTCTTTTATAAAGTTCTATAAAATCAAGTAATTATAAATGAATACATATTTGAAAAGTTGGACCCTTACACTGTATTATTTCACAATCTAAGCTTACCATAGATTATGAACTACAAAAAAATGCAGTTTTAAATGTTCAAGCTGCTCAACTCTAAGATATTTCTTTTGGATTTTCTGTTACATGTTTTGGAATTTTCTAGTCCCATGACCAGATCTGGTGGTAAAAGCTGAAATACTGTCATATTAAGTGTGAGCAAGCTTCCCAGTCTTGGTATGCAATTTTTAAACCTTAAGAAAAAATGATCAGACCACAGAGCAAATTAATTTTTTGCAATCACAGGGAGATAAAAAAAGCAGTGGTGATGTGCATATATAGCATCATTCAAAGTGAAGGATTTTACATCATCTGAAGCTTTGTACAGAAGGTCACAACAATTTCTAGAAGCATCAGTACAGTCCCTATGCCAAATGACACAATGTTGATTGATACAATTTTATGTATTTAAAGGCACTGCAGTCTTAAAAGTCCCAGTCGTCTAAAGTCTAAACTTATGTTTCATGAGATGCCAGGAGATCCAGGTTCTTTGATGTATTCTCACACACAAAGAGATCCATTCTCAATCTTTCACTTTAAAAAACTTATTTTCAGTTTGTTTAATACATCTGTCACCTTTCCATTTAAAATGCATATATAAACATAAATTGTTGTAAATTATTTACCTTCACTCATACAAAACACTCGAAGGAAAGCCAAAAGCTGGGCAGAAATTGGAGGCTCAGTAGCGTGCAAGGCAAAAACGCTTGAACTAAAAAAGACCAAACTTATGTTAGACTGTGGTAACTTCATTATTCTAACATGAAAATACAATGTTTAATAAATTCAGTGTTCCTCAGGAACATGTTGAAATACCAAGGTCAAACCAATTTTTAAGGAGAAACTGAAGAACAACTTCTTTGACCGGTCTAAGAGATAAACAATTTTTTTTAAAACTGCTTGTTCTTTGGGGAAAACTCAGAATTACTTTTTGTATGGTTTTCATAATAAATTCATGAAAAAGTAACATTACACAAATCTTCCCCATCATACTGCAGCCTGAACTGAAAGGACTTTCTTCTGAAGACATATTTGTTACTTATACAGATTACTCTTACTTAAACTGTACTTTGCAATGTATGTGCAAGGGATAGGAAAGTAAGAAAAAAAACCCCACAGATAGGTTCAGATTAAACCATTGGCTGATTCTGTTCAAGTTTGTATTAAAACCAAAGATGTTCCCTTCCTGTATACTCCGGATTACACAATGCTACAGCTGAGAAAAATTCATTAAAACTTCATTATGACATTAATTTGCTATATAAACTGAAGGCGTAAGCAAACTATTACAAAACATATTTAATAATGCTTAACTGGACTTCATACACTTTGAAATATTCAAATATCAAACCCAGCTCATTTTGTTTTACTTACGTTGGGATGCCAGCACGAGCTAAAACCTCAGCCTTCATAGCATACAGCCTGTCACTTTTACTCACTCCAAGCTTTATTTTCACTCTGTCATGTGAATTATTATCAAAGAAAAAACCACTGTGGATCACAAACTCTGCATTTGACCGAGTGCCGTAAAAAATGTAAATCTAGAAGGATGAAAAGAGAAATGGAGAGAAAAAAAGCTAAAGATAAACTCAAAGAACTGATATAAGTTGGAAGTTATTTCCTGGAAAAGTTATTTTATTGTAATAACACAATGTTTATGAGGCTACAGAACCGAAACGCATATTTGTTTTCATTTGTTTATTCAAAATGCTGGGCAATGTTGTTATATGACTTCAAGTACGAGGTGTCCAATAGTTGACATGGATTTCTACAGAGAATAGAAACTCCCCATTACAAAGGGAGGCAACTGCTATTTAAATATACTGACATCTCATTTTTTTGTGAATGTTTTATATTACCCTTGGTCTCCCAACACACTCTAAATCAATTTTGTTCCTTTAAGAACAAGTTCAGTAATATATGTTATTTTTAAAAATATATGTGAATTAATACACTCTGCAGTAAGACTCTGAAGTAAGTGCTTAAAAATAATTAAAGAAAAAAAAAGTTATGGTTTTAAGTTGAGTTTTTACCTGACAATGGTTATATAAAATTCTCAGTAGAGCAAGTCACTGTATTATCTGTTGCAGTTGGTAATTACCAGGGCATTTATCCTTTCTTTTGATAATGGAATTGTAAACTGAAACAAGTCTTTTATTTCTTACAAAATACCCAGAAGAACATTACCTAAGTATAAAAGTTCTAGATATGTCTGTACTTTCTTTTAGAGGTAGATTCAAGATCCATTAAGAATCCAAACTGTCATCAGGCACGCATGTAAACTTCAGATTGAAATAGTAATTTCCACCTATCCCAACTTACAAGGTGAGAGTTCAATGTTGTTCTTCTCCAAGCCAAGCAAAACTAATCCTAAAATCACAGAAAAGTAAGGCCGCAGGGGCCATAAGGTCATGTAGTCCTACCCCCTGCTCAAAGCAGGACCCCCCCCAGCTAAACCATCCCAAGTCAAGTGTCTGTCTAATTGGCTTCTTGGAAATTTTCAGGGATGGAGATCCTATAACTTCTCTAGGTAGCCTGTTCCAATGCTTAACCAACTAATGATGCAATTATTTTTTTTTTTGTTAAGTTTTACATCAGTGATTCTCACCCCTTGTTTAACTCAGAGCACTCAGAAAATGCCAGCTCTTAGCTTTCATTTGTTTGCTGACTACGGAAAAATAAAGGAGCAGTTCTATAGCAAAGAAACATCACAAGAGGTCAAAAAGGACCAGAACAGAATGTTTCTGATGCTATAGATTCCTTTTTTAAATCTCTGAATTTCTCCTGTGAAACAGTGCTAATGTTGTGTCACATCCTTCAGCACTTAAAAGGATGGCGTGGCACCTCCAGGTGCTGCAACACCTGGTTGAGAATCAGTATTTTATGTCTCCCTACCCCAGGCTGTAAATGGTTAGTAGTTTAATGCACCTAATCCATAAAATATTACAGATAATCCCACATGCATGGATTGCCTATGTACATTGGAGAGATTACTGTAAGTATATAAACATGCTAACAAAACTCTGCACACTGCCCTCCAAAGTGCTTGGGAAACTTCTAAGATTAAATGGCAATATTTAAACACTTGTGATAGCTGAAAATATTGCAAAAGGAAAAGAACCCTGAACTCAGAACACACCAGTGTAGAAGTCTGTTAGATCAACTTCAATGTACACTGGATGTCAGATGAAACTTTTGTATAATTCACATGAGTAAACAGAAGTCAGCAATCTCACAGCCACAAACAGAGGTGAAGCTCCCCAGTCTAACTCACACCACTTCACAGAAAGAGCCATGAGTTAGACCAATCCTTCTGACCCAACAGTTGTTAGCTGTTGGGTCCAGAGGGTGTGTGACCAAGCTCCACTTTAGAGTTGATCTAGGGAGAGAGGTTGCGTCTCTTTAGCCTCTTCCCCCAGCTCCATTCCCCGGCTACCAGGCTCTGGTGCTCTCTCAGGATAGGAGAGGAAGAAGGCAGGGGAGAGCGGTCCCTTCTGGGGTTTCCGCAGCCTACGCTGGAGTGGGGTGGGTAAGTGGATAGATTGGAGCCCTCCCCTCGGGGGGGTGCGGGTGCTCCAATCCACCTGCCCCACCTTCCAGTAGTGCTGGCTAGGCAACCCCCAGAATGAGCTTCTTCTATTTCTACTTCTTCAAGACTTATTTCCTATTGTAGGGAATGCTTTGGATTCACTGTTCTTCAGTCTGAATGGGTGGACCAATTAGTCCAAGGCCAGGGAAATTACTTTCAGGTACATTTCTTTTTTTTAAGCCCTTGGGATGAACATGATACAGGTCAAATAATCACTGGGAAGGAAAATGGCCTCTGTCACCTATGTTGGTTGGTAACACCACCCCTTATTTGGCAATTGGATAACTCTTAAGCCAGTGGGCCAATCTTTTCAGCATGCATGTCACAAATTAAGCCCTGTACCCTCCCTGAACACACACTGATCCACTTCTGCCATCTAATCAGATGCTCTGCTCTCTGTCTTCTGCCCTTGGCCCTGGACTGTTTTGCTGCTCTGCTTTCTGCTCCCTGCCCTATCTACTACAGCCAGTTGTCTGCCCCCTTCCTTGATTTACCATGTACCACACAGAGATACTGTCTGTGCCATTTGTGACACGTGTGCTGTAGGCTGGTCACCTCCATTAGGCTAACACATACCAGTTAAACAATAAAGAAATGTACTGCAACCTGCTGCTGGTTATGAAAACTGAAGAACTGAGGTATTGCCCTTTAATAATTTCATCTTGAAATAATTTCATTTTGAAATGTCTCACCTGGTGTCTAATAATTTGTATACACCTCCCAGTGATTAAACGTTTGTACCAGCCCATAAGTCTTAAGGAGGATATCTTCACAGATGTATATGGGATATATTTTATTCTAATTTAATTTTTTTTAGTTTTACTAGAACTTGGTCAAAAATTAACCAAGTACAACAAAACCTCTGCTATGCAAGACCTCACCTACAGTACTTTGATATTAAATCTTTACATACATTAACTGTACCTGAAAAATACAAAGGCTTTAATTGCAGGTAATTACAATGTGTTCAGTTATCTTGTGCCCTCGTCTTCAGGGGACACAATGCAATGTTGCACAATACTTCACCGAATAACCAAGGTGTAGATAACTGTTCATATTACCTGCTCTCCAGCTTTAAAATCCTGAAGTGCTACACATTCACATCGGTCGTCTTCTAAATTGTAACCAGTAGTGATCTATCCAAAGAAAAAAAAAGACAGATATCTTTAGCATCTTGCATTTGTTTTCTCCCTGTTTTGATAAAACTACCTTTTATTGAAGTGGAATTTAAACAGAAGAAACTGCACATGCACATATTTTCCTTTACCTGACATAGCATAGATGATATTAAATGTTTATGAATTCTAAAACAATAATTTCTTAGTTAGGAACATTAAAATCTCTGCATCAGAGAAATTTAAGAAAGCAAAGGGAAAGCTCTGAGGAAAGTACTCTCCATAGACCAACACTCACTGGTCCTGAGCTAAATCCAGCAGCTTATTATAAAGTTCTTGAATGTTAAGACACTACTGTGAGGTACGCTAGAGACCTACAGTGAGTATGCTATTTTGTCTCATATCCTTCAAATATCAGTGCATTTTTTATCTCTCTCTCAATGAAAAAGGAGCAACTATGACTCTTTAGGGGATACCATCTTCAGAGAACTCCAATTTACTTGCAAATAATTCCCTTTATCTGAAGTTAAGTAATTAATCTTAGAAATTGAAGGGATTTTTTCTGTAAAAGCATACAGCAGAGGAGGGGAAAAGTACTCCTTATTGTCTTTAGAATAAAATCCCTTTCAGAAAAAAAAAGTCACAAAACTAAATATGCTCACTAGAAGTAAAGTCATCCTAAAACTTTTAAACAAAAATTATTTTGTTATAATTACACACTTGAATAATCCCACACAACAAGGAACCCATACTAATCGTAAGAGCTGGACAGAAAGGGTCTGGACAGAAAAAAAAGTATGCAATAATTGGGCAATCAGGGAGCAACTTCTCTAAGTTTTCTGAATTCAATTTTTACACAGTTACACTGTAGTAAAATAGTCCATTGACCAGGGGGACAAACTGCAGAGCCACAAATTCTCTTAAAGGGTCTTGGTACAGTTGGCACTTTGAGCTGTTCAAATGTTGATCAGTGTTAGTGTTAGCTCGTTTGGAGCAGTCACAATGCAAGGCAGTGGTTTCCAACCCTTTTCACTTGTGGACCCCTAAAACATTTCAAATAGAGGTGAGGACCCCTTTGAATTGTAAGTGTGGGTATTCACACACTTTTGACTGATAGTCATCTTTCATGGACCCTTTAAGGCAGTCTGTAAACCCCCAGGGGTCTGCAAACCACAGGTTGAAAACCACTGCCTCAGGCTAAAAACCTTTGATTGTCCCCCACCTGCACAGGTGTGACTTGCCATTAGAGGGCTGGGCAAGTAGGGCCCTGAGGGGGAGTGAGAGTTGTCACTACAGGACAGGTGTGCCAGGACAGGCTTGTCCCTGCTCTAGGTGGGTGGGTGCAAAATAGGAGGGGAAGAGGGCCAGGAACATGAAACTGGGAGGTGGAGAGTTAATGAGATAGGGGTGGATAAATGAACTGGGAAGTGAAAAGGAAATGGACATAGGTGGTGAAATGAAGGATAAAATAAAAACATACAGCATTAATCCCATAAATCCAGATCTCGAAAAATGAATTCTTGAAAGTCTGGCACTTCTTAAGCTTTTCTCTCTGCTCCCTGGAAGCTTGCACATGGCGGCTGCCGCTGCCATCCACCACCCCGCTCCGTGTACGGCCACTGCTCTGGGACTGGCCACTGCTACTTCCCCTCTCCCCCCTGCTGCCGCTCCATTTTCAAAAAAATGGAATTTTCAAATTTCCAGCAGGCACTCAGTCCCAAGCATGCTGGATTTATGAGCTTATACTGTATATAAAAAAAATAATTTAAAAAGAAATAAGGAAGTTAATTTAAAAAGGTCTCATGTTTTAACAAAGTTGGATCTGATATTTTGGTGTGGGGAAGTGCTGGTTATGCTTCCCAGGGTGGCTGGGAGGTGGGAGCAGTGAGGAAAGGTGCTTTTAGGGTAGCTACTGTGTAGCAAGAAACCCTTTTGTCTGCCCCCCCCCCCAAATGTGAAGCTCCTTCATATGGTCAAAGCTCCTCTTAGTATTTGCCCCCTTTTGGGGATGCTTTCTCTTTTCTACCTTTTCTTCCTTCCTCTCTCTTTTTCTTTTATTATACTATTATTATTTTTATATAAAGGTGTACTTGTAGGGAAAACAGAGCTTGTAGATGCTTTTACAAATGTACTTTAAGTTCAAAAGTAAGTTGTACCATGTAACAATGTTAACAAGAGCAGGAATCTCTGTATGGAGCAGGTCCCTGAATGAATCATGGCTGATTGTGCAACACAGTAGCTAGTCTGGATAAGTATGTTAATGAGCGGCAATTAACACCTACAAAATCAGACCAGGGAGAGGAAAGAATCAAAGAGCCAGGAATTCCCGGAAACTTCATCGTTAAGGGTACGGAACCGCTGTTTGAACCAATCAATGCTGGAAACAGACCCTTGGGGCTGAAATACCCCCTGAGCAACTACTTCCAGAGCTCTATTCATCATGACAGTGAATCAATCAAAATTCATCAACAGACTGCTGAGACTGCACGTACCTGCGGACATGACCCCTGCAGCTGACAGCTGCCATCCAGCAGCTACCAAGAGGGACGTCCCTCAAGGACAGCAGCCCCTGGATTGGGTAAGCCTGAGAATTGGGGAGTCAAAGTCTGCCAGAGAGGTATAAAAGGCAGCAAAGGATGACCCCAAAGGGCGCCCTCTTTGACCTGACCAGCACCCTGCTTGTCCAGCCAGAAGGACCAGCTGGTGACCCCCTTCTGAAGCAACATCGCACTGAAAGAAGCCTCAACTGGCCATTGACAGTGGACTCCAGTGCTTGGGGATACGTATATCTTGACACCAGTGCTAAGTGTTCAGAGCTAGCTAGCTAGCTAGCTAGCGTGTGTGTGTGTGTGTACGTACATGAATGTGTGCGTGTTTGAGGGGATCAGCACCAAGGTTTATGGTCTGACTTTTCCATCCGTCCAATAAACTAGAATTTTATGATGATCCTGTGACCTGCTGCTTTGTAGCCAACAACTGCCCCTGCCTTGGGAAGGAAGCCCCAGCTCACTGGGAACCAATCCAGTTCCCTATCTTGTTGCTCCCAAATCCCACTCCTGGACCCATCCATGCCCTGCAACCTGGTTAGCTGGCATGTGCTCTGTTGCATCTCTGGGGTGGAAAGGTGCAACCTGGGGAGTAGGAGGGAGAGTTGGCTTGGTGCCAGAACTGTCCCCTGGGCAGTAGAATTCAGGGGGTGGAAAGTTTGTCCACACAAAAACAGAAGGTAGGGAAAGGGACACTGCATCCTGGGATGCAGGAGGACTACAACTTGGGTGGGAGTGACCACACATTAACAGAACAGAAGGTGGGCAACATGGATCAAAGATGAACATGCCCAGGAGTGGCATAACTTTAAGGCACCTAAAGTGTATTTAAAACTAGTTTCAGCTGTTGTGTGGACAATCCAGGGGTTAAAAGCTCCTAGTGGCTCCCAAAATGAATGTGTAACAAGGCTCTCACACCGACCACTGCAAGAACTTTGTTTTCTGCTACAGAGATTAGGTCTGAACACAGGTACTATATCATGACTGCCATCTACCATCTTGGATTTGCTTTGTCTGAGGAGAGAACCCTTTGGGCTACTTTGAAAGCTTAGGTGGTGGCTTTACTTTGCTCACATACTTAAATATGCATCTGTAAGCCAAAACTATTCTTTCAAAATTACAAGAAATTCTTCTCAGACAGAAGAAATCCAGAATGGCAGCCATGAGCTAGTGCAATAGGAGTTCACTTTACACTTATGAAATGGCACTGTTTAAGACCTAAGTCAATCTGTGATCTTTGAAGACCCACAGGGCCCATTATGATCATCCAGTCTGAATTCCTGCTTAACACAGACTGCAGCACTTTACCCAGAGATTCTACTATACCACCCTGGATTGGTATTAAAGTTGAGAAAGAAATAAAGCCTCCAAGTTCTAAATGACCCCCACACTTTACCCACTCCCCTGTAACCTGTTCCTATGGTTGTTTATCCCAATTTCAGTGACCGCACTTGGGGGGGGGGGGGGGAAAAAGGGGACCTTCCAACCACAAAAAGGAATTTCTGGTAACTTCTTAAAAGCTTGAGATGTTTTACAATTTCTTTAGTTACTACATAGGCGCAAGAAATGTTTTCGAACTCCGAAAAACCCTTAGGGCACATCCATACATGCAGGCACATGCGCTTGCAGCAGCTCATATAGGAGTGACACAAATGTGAGCGGGGGATTTTTGTCTCAGCGCACATGCCAGGACATGCACTTTGGTATGGAGCAAGTTGTGCCACTTGGTGCAAAATAACCCTGCCCAGCTCCTCCTGGATTTTCAGCCAGGGGGAGCTAGAGCCTGGGGCCAGCACCTGCACTGGCCCCAGCAGTACAAAAAGGCTGCCTTGGCAAGCAGCTCAGGGCTACTCGCTCTCAGGATCTTCTGGGACCCAGCCAATTTGGTATCTAGGGACACTACCCCTTGTGCCAGCTGGGCTGCAGAAGCAGCATCCCAAATTCACTCTTTAAAATACCCCAAAATCCATGTTCTTCCACAATTAGAACAAAAAAACATCATATACGTAACTGGGGCAGCAGAAGCACCATAGAGACGCTCTGGCCAGAAATCAGTGTCCCTCCGGAAGACCAGCTTCCCAGTTACCTCAGGGCATTGTCCAGGACCATGCCCTGCCCCACTCTTTCCCTCCAGGGTATTTTTGGATACCTGGACATTCAGGTATCAAATTTTGAGCACGCGCTGCAAATATGCAGCACATGGAACATTTTTCAATTTGCCTCCTGCGCCATCTCAAACTGGCTTGGGATGCTGCAAGAGGCACATGAGCAGTGGCATACTGATTGGGGGTGGGGAGGGAGAAATCGAGGGTGGTGGCCGGAGAAGCCAAGGTGCCTCCTGTGTTT